CTATGAGGCTGGACGCGGGTGTGCAATCTTGGGCCCGTGCACTGGCACCAGTGACCAGACAATTGGAACATGTTGGAACTGCAATCACCACAGGTAGACGAAGAGGAAGAGATGGAGGGACAGTTCAATCTGCAAGCCCTGGTCAAGAAGGTTGAGGCTCTTGGTTCGTGTCTGTACTCCCGGCTAGCCTTCAGAGCTTGGCAGGAGCAGGAGGCAAGACGAGAAGCAGCCGAAGAAACAGGCAAGACGCCAGAACATGTGAACAAACCTTGCTTTCTGGCCAAAATCGGCTCAGTGTCTGGTTCAGAAACGGTGTGTCTCAAATGTTTGTGGCCGAAGGGAACTTTTTGTATCGTCTCACGAATTGCTGATGGTTCTGCCACATTGGTTGAGGTTGTTTGGCATGAAACCGGCATTGCTGTCTTGGATCACTTGTCACTGCTACATATGAGGGAATTGAGACCATGAGTTTTACCACCGAGCTGCCACCCCAGGTCAAGATGTTGATAGTGACGACGGCTTACATGACATCAAGCCGAAGAAGAAGAAGCCGAAGAAGGAGAAGGCCCATAGCCCAGAGTCAAAGTGTCTGGGCAAAAGCAGCAAGAGGCTGCCGCACTTACAAGTTGATGAAACACGGCGACATGTGCCTCTTGCACATGCAGGTTACTGCAGAGAACATCATTGAGAAGGCTCGATTTGATTGGAAGTGCTGCTGTTCGCACCGCCTATTTGCCAGTGTCTCGTCCTGATCGAGCACACGTTTGTTGCCAGAGAGTCCATTAAGAAGGCCGGCTTTGCTTTTTTTCTTGAGGGTCGCCATTAGTCAACTAAGAGAGTGAGAGTGAGTGAGAGAGAGCGAGAGTGGGAGGGGCAGAGAAGGAGCCTTAAGGGGGGAAAGAAAGAAAGAAAGAAGAAGAAAAAGAGAAGCAGACAGAAGGAAAACAAGAAGAAAGGGGAGAGAGAGACAGAGAAAAAAAGGAAAGACAAAGAAAGACATAGGCAAAATAGAAAAGAAAGCAAGGACATATCGAAGGAAAGCAAGGAAAGGACGAAGGAAAGCAAAAAAGACAGAAGGAAAGAAGGAAAGCAAGAAAACACAAAGAAAGAGAAACAAACAAATCAACAAGGAAAGGACAGGAAGACAAAGCTAAATAATAAATATAGAAATAGAAGAAACAAGGAAGACATGAAACATGAAAGAAATAAAGAAAGAAAGAAAGATTGAAGGAACGAAAAAAAACTTCGAAGTTAAAAAGTACAGAAACAAAGAAAGGAATGAACAAATAAATAAAGAAAGATAGACCGATACATTTAGACAGAGCACACACAGAAAGAGAGAGAGCAACAGAGACAGAGAGGGAGAGGAAAAAAGAGGCGCGCAAGAGCGCGCGCGCGGGTGTGTGTGTGTGTGTGCGTACCCGCGTGCCTGCGTGCCTGCGTGTTTGTGCGCCTGCGTGCCTGCGTTCCTGCGTGCCTTCGTGCCTGCGTGCCTGCGTGCCTGCATGTGTATGTGTGTGTTTGTGTCTGTGTTTGTGTCTGTGTCTTTGTCTGTGTCTGTGTGTCTGTGTGTCTGTGTGTCTGTGTGTTTGTGTGTCTGTGTGTCTGTGTGTCTGTGTGTCTGTGTGTCTGGTGTCTGTGTGTCTGTGTGTGAGTGTGTGAGTGTGTGAGTGTGTGTGTGTGTTTGTGTGTCTGTGTGCCTGCGTGCCTGCGTGCCTGCATGTGTATGTGTGTGTGTGTGTGTGTCTGTGTTTGTGTCTTTGTCAGTGTCTGTGTCTGTGTCTGTGTGTCTGTGTGTGAGTGTGTCTGTGTCTGTGTGTCTGTGTGTGTGAGTGTGTGAGTGTGTGAGTGTGTGAGTGTGTGTGTGTTTGTGTCTGTGTCTTTGTCTGTGTCTGTGTGTCTGTGTGTCTGTGTGTCTGTGTGTTTGTGTGTCTGTGTGTCTGTGTGTCTGTGTGTCTGTGTGTCTGTGTGTGTCTGTGTGTCTGGGTGTCTGTGTGTCTGTGTGTGAGTGTGTGTGTGTGTGTGTGTTTGTGTGTCTGTGTGTCTGTGTGCCTGCGTGCCTGCGTGCCTGCATGTGTATGTGTGTGTGTGTGTGTGTCTGTGTTTGTGTCTTTGTCTGTGTCTGTGTCTGTGTCTGTGTGTCTGTGTGTCTGTGTGTCTGTGTGTGAGTGTGTCTGTGTGTCTGTGTGTGTGTGTGTCTGTGTGTGTGTGTGTGTGTGTGTGTTTTTTTTGTGTGTGTGTGTGTCTTGGTCTGTGTCTTGGTCTATGTCTGCGTGTCTGTGTCAGTTTGTTTGCCACAGTGTGGCACTGTGTGTTTGTGTGTGGCACTGTGTGTTTGTGTGTGGCACTGTGTGTGTCTGTGTTGCTTGTTGCTTGCTTGCTTGCTTGTTGCTTGCTTGCTTGCTTGCTTGCTTGCTTGCTTGCTTGCTTGCTTGCTTGCTTGCTTGCTTGCTTGCTTCCTTGCTTGCTTGCTTGCTTGCTTGCTTGCTTGCTTGCTTGCTTGTTTGCTTGCTTGCTTGCTTGCTTGCTTGCTTGCTTGCTTGCTTGCTTGTTGCTCGTGCGTGCGTGCGTGCGTGTGTGCGTGTGTGCGTGTGTGCGTGAAAGACAACTGGACGTCCCGGAAGCTTTTATTTCTTGTTCTCCTTCTCCAGTTTATTGGCCTTGCAATGTTTCGCCGCCTGACATGGAACACGCTTCCAGGACTACCATCTTCTTGACGGCAACGTGTGCGCAAGGGATTTGACCCCGCTCATCCAGAAGTGGGAGGCGTGGGAAGAAGCAAGTCACCAATTAAAACGTGTGTGTAGCAGCTTGAAGTTGTTTGCTGTTTGTTGGCAGCTTGGCTCGGTTTCGTGCGGGAAGGTTTCAATGATTTGAGGCGAACCTTACTTTTTGAATGCTTTCACGACCTAAGCGGCATCAGGCGCTGGAGTCCGCATCAGATGCCCCGGATTCCTTGCCTGGCACTTACTGTATTGCAAGTGCCGACTGAAGGAGCCTAACCACATCGCAGAAAGCATGTCAAGGTTCAATGATACGTTAATGGTTTACTCGGCATGTTGCATGGTTCGCATGCTGCGTGTGAAACCCGTCCATACTTGTGAGGCTTTAGCGGAACACGGAAACCCAAACAAATTACTGAACATGTTCCTGAAACCCATATTTGTATACATAATATCTGCAAAACTGAGAATGTGTTTCTGACACCCATGAAAAACTTGGGCTCTAAGTTCCTGACACCCGGGCTCCAAGTCGGACAAGAGACGGCCTTTAAGACTTGTCACTCACCAAGGTGCAAGGAGACCTTCGAGGTGATGCTCGCGCTGATTCTGCGCGGGGCGGAGCTTCTCAAAGAGCTCGATCCCCAGAGGGCGGCTCAAAAATAATGTCTTGCAGAAGAGGTGGCGGTGGTCAAAAATCTGGTAACCCCAAAATGGGTTGCCCTGGTAAATGGAAAGGACTCAAACCCGAGGTCAAATCATCGTGTTGTTGTTTTTTTTGGGGGGGCCTGGTTAGTGGAAAACAAAGGGACCCCAAAAAAGTCCAAAAAAACATCAAAAGGGGAGCTAATTCTGGGGAAGCTTAAATGGATTAGGTACCCAAAATGGGTTGCCCTGGTAATTGGAAAGGACTCAAAGCTGCGGTCCAATTCCTGGTGGTTTTATTTTGACCCACACCCAGGTACTGAAGCACTGAACTTTGGTGCATTTTGCCAAGGGGTGTTAGGACTGAATACTTGTTTCCCAACTAATGGGTTTTCCATTAAAACACTAAAAGTTAAGCATTTAGCAGGGGAGCAGAAAGCAACCGAGTGAATGTGGCTCGGGCATTTGTTCTTCCTCTGGGCTTTGCGTGTCGTGGAAGTCATGCAGAGTGGCCGAAGTCCCCTTGCGAGTGTTTGTTCAGATTTCCAGAGGTCTAGTTGAGTATCAACCTGTCAGGAGAATGAAACGTGTTTTTCACCTAGTTTTGCGGAAACCTGCTTGGAAGTCCGGCCGTTCGATAGTTCAGTACTGAAAGTTGGCCTCCTGACTCCCTCTGCCCGTGCACGTGCAAGCATCGCTCGAGCATGTTATGAGCATTGCCCAAATCTTTATGGAGCAGTCCTCCACAAATCTCAAAGATGGGTGCTGTGTGTGTGTGTGGGTGTGGGTGTGGGTGTGGGTGTGGGTGTGGGTGTGGGTGTGGGTGTGTGTGTGTGTTTTCTCTGGATGTGGGTGTGCTTGCATGCTGGCCCAAAGTCCCAAATGGACACCAGTGCAGCAAGAACGCAGAAGCTTGCCGAGAAATTGCCAGTTCTGAGACGCCCATTCAACCCAAGAAGCATGATGTATTGCCATGGACGCTTCTAAATAACAACAGTTGGACATTTGCATTTCGGAACGGCCGTCAAAGAGCTTGCTTCAGGGCCAGTGGGAATATTGCGCATTGCTAGGTTGTCCGTGAATCGTTTGCAACTCTCGGAGCTGAACAAGGCTGGTCTGCTGGGCTTGACAAAAGGAATCATAATCAGATCGGTGCGTGACATTGCTTTGCAGGTGCTGGCTCGGTTGACCACGCTGGCCGCCTAGAGCTTGTTTGCACACAAAAAGTGTGCCGCTGCTCAAACCTGTTCGCGACATTGAAGGTTGGAAAAGAGAGAAGAACTGCACGAAGATGCCAAGTGGGTGGCGACCCACAGAGATCCTGACAGCTGCCCTTCGAGCCGAGCCGGCATGCGTGGAAAATTGTGTTGCCGAGGTGCATTCCTTCATGAAGACATTGTGAGCCGGGGGCATGTGACATGTTAACTCTACCTGGGAATGATTCCACCAAACAGTCAGTCATTCACAAAAGCCAAGCAGATCGGAGCTATGACATGACCATCGGGGTGAAGTCATTCTGTGGGCAATCTATAGCCAAAAGCTTGGGCAAGCCCTGGGGAAGTGTCGGCGCGGAAAGTCGCACAGTGGCACTGGCCAAAGATTAGCCATGAACAAGCCGCTGTCACGTCTGTTTACGCCGCCAGTTTAAAAAGGTGTCAATTGGATGCAGGTGCACTGCAACGTTTGCTCTTTGAGCAGGTCACCGGCGTTTCTGTTCTCATATTGTGGCTTGCCTATTTAGGTTGCTTTGCGTTCACAGTGTTCGCACAACTGCATGTTTTCCCATACCCTCATGGACACTGCTCAGCATGAGCTTCACTGTGCTCACAGCTGGCAAATGCTCTTGGCACCACACCTTGACACATGACGTTGACACTGGGTCCAGCATAAAGCACCAGACAAGATTTGATGCAGCTGCAAACTGACAGCACTTGTGCGCATCCGGAGAAGTTCCGAGTGCGATGGACGCGCGCGTCTCAGTCGCAGTCTCACTCTCAGCTTAGACGACGGCTCTGAACTGACGAGGACCAGCTCAGAGGCTGGTGCTGAGGTGGGCTGGCTGAACTGCTTCACAGTGTGGCATGGAGCACCCGTTGGCACAGCAGCCGTTTCAAACGTCAACATGTGCTTTCTGGGCAGGACTGCGACATGGCAATCCGCCAGCCGGAGCCTTGCGAGGGAGTTTCGGGTGAGGGCGTGCCTGAGGTTTGTCGGGACGAGCATGTCGCTTGACATGATGGCGACAAAGCAATTCCAGTTGGTATGCATATAGGTGGCCATTTGTGGTAGGGGGTTGGCCTTTCTGGCATTGCACGACGAATGCAACGTGGCAGCCACAGTTCAAGTTGCATGCGCCTTTCCTGTGAGAAAGGACTTAGTCACGCCACTGCTGTGTGAGCTTGCAGGCTTTACGCGCAAGGTTTTGCAGGATCAAGCCAGCACTGCTCCCGCTCACGTGCCCCTTTGAGAGGCCACATGAACGGCCGGCCGCCCGAAATCCAATCTTTGCTGGAGTGCGGCTGTGGCAAGCCAACATTGGATGGAGTTGCAATTTTGCTTGCGCCACGCCTGTCTGAGTGGGCGGCAAGCCCGCAGTTTGCCACAAAAATATTGAGTGAAGTGGGCAAGCGAAGGCGTCCAGAGCTTGCAGAGCTGATCTTGACGTGCATGTCAGAGGGAAGGGTTGAAGTCAACGTGTTCCACTTCAGCGCTGTAATCAGTGCAAGTGAGAAAGCCGGAGCGTGGACATCCGCCTTGCACTTCCTCAGGGAAATGACTCACGCAGCTGTGACTCCCAACGAATTCAGCTACAGTGCTGCGATCAGTGCTTTTGAGAAGGGTGGGCAGTGGGAGGGCGCCTTGGGCTTGCTGACGGAAATGCAGCTTGATAGGCGCAAGAGAGTTGACCGAAAATTCGGACGGGGAGCACATCATATCAATGTGCGGCCCCATTAAATGAGGAGTGTCCATGTGCGATTGTAATGCGGAGGCTCTGCCCCAACGAAGTCACCTATGGCGCCAGCATCAGCGCCTGTGCTCGCGGCAGCAACTGGATCTCTGCCTTGGAGTTGCTCTCGGGGCTGCAGGTCGCCTTGCTGCAAGTGAACGTGGTCACTATCAGCGCGGCGCTGACCGCTTGCGAGAAGGCGCACCGACGTGAGGGCGGGGGGGTGCTTCATTGCAAAGCCATGCCAGCCAATGCGCAGCCTATGGGCAACAAGTAAGATTCGTTCCCCAAGAAATAAGGACCACATAAGACGATGCATCCAGAAGACCACGGATTCAGTCCTTGCAACATGAATTGGCGCTGGAGTGGTTGTTTCTGTTGAATGCGGTCTGGTAAACAACCAAGGGGGAGAATGATTGGACAAGCAAAGCTCCTTGGCTTTGGTTTGGCGCGTTCCTTCACTTCGCACGGGAAGGCAAGCCGGTGGCAGCCCGCCATGAGCCTTCTGGAGCTCATGGCCAGGAAAAAGATCAATGCCGATCGCATCAGCTTCAGCTCAGCCATCAGCACGTGTGAGAAGTGTGGAAACTGGGAATTGGCAGTGGGTATGTTTCGGGCTATGCGCTTGGACTTGCATCACCCAGATGCTGTAAGCTGCTTGGACCATGTTGATGTCCTTTGTGTGTGTGTGCGGGTGTGTGTGGGTGTGTTGTGTGTGTGTGGTGTGTGTGTGGTGTGTGTGGTGTGTGTGGTGTGTGTGGTGTGTGTGGTGTGTGTGGTGTGTGTGGTGTGTGTGGTGTGTGTGGTGTGTGTGGTGTGTGTGGTGTGTGTGGTGTGTGTGGTGTGTGTGGTGTGTGTGGTGTGTGTGGTGTGTGTGGTGTGTGTGGTGTGTGTGTGTGTGTGTGTGTGGGTGTGTGTGTGTGTGTGTGTGTGTGTGTGTGTGTGTGTGTGTGTGTGTGTGTGTGTGTGTGTGTGTGTGTGTGTGTGTGTGTGTGTGTGTGTGTGTGTGTGTGTGTGTGTGTGTGTGTGTGTGTGTGTGTGTGTGTGTGTGTGTGTGTGTGTGTGTGTGCGGGGGGTTGTGTGTGTGTTTGGTGTGGTGTGTGGTGTGTGGTGTGTGGTGTGTGGTGTGTGGTGTGTGTGGGGTGTGGGGTGTGGGGTGTGGGGTGTGGGGTGTGGTGTGTGGGGTGTGTGTGTGTGTGTGTGGGTGTGGGTGTGGGTGCGTGTGCGTGTGCGTGTGCGTGTGCGTGCGCGTGCGCGTGCGCGTGCGCGTTCGCGTGCGCGTGCGCGTGCGCGTGCGCGCGTGTGCGTGTGCGTGTGCGTGTGCGTGTGCGTGTTCGTGTGCGTGTGTGTGTGCGTGTGCGTGTGCGTGTGCGTGTGCGTGTGCGTGGTGTGTGGTGTGTGGTGTGTGGTGTGTGGGGTGTGGTGTGAGGGGTGTGGGGTGTGGGGTGTGGGGTGTGGGGTGTGGGGTGTGGTGTGTGGTGTGTGTGTGTGTGGTGTGTGTCTGTCTGTGTGTGTGTGTGTCTGTGCGTGCGTGTCTGTGCGTGTGTGTCTGTGCGTGCGTGTCTGTGCGTGCGTGTGCGTGTGCGTGTGCGTGTGCGTGCGCGTGTGCGTGTGCGTGTGCGTGTGCGTGTGCGTGCGTGGGTGTGTGTTCGTGGGTGTGCGTGGGTGTGTGTGTGGGTGTGGGTGTGCGTGTCTGTGCGTGTCTGTGCGTGTCTGTGCGTGTCTGTGGGTGTCTGTGGGTGTCTGTGTGTGTCTGTGGGTGTCTGTGTGTGTCTGTGTGTGTCTGTGTGTGTCTGTGTGTGTCTGTGTGTGTCTGTGTGTGTCTGTGTGTGTGTCTGTGTGTGTCTGTGTGTGTGGTGTGTGTCTGTGTGTGTGTGTGTCTGTGTGTGTCTGTGTGTGTCTGTGTGTGTCTGTGTGTGTCTGTGTGTGTCTGTGTGTGTCTGTGTGTGTCTGTGTGTGTCTGTGTGTGTCTGTGTGTGTCTGTGTGTGTCTGTGTGTGTCTGTGTGTGTCTGTGTGTGTCTGTCTGTGTGTGTGTGTGTGTGTGTGTGTCTGTTTGTGTGTGTTGTGTGTGTGTCTGTGTGTGTCTGTGTGTGTCTGTGTGTGTCTGTGTGTGTCTGTGTGTGTCTGTGTGTGTCTGTGTGTGTCTGTGTGTGTCTGTGTGTGTGTCTGTGTGTGTGTCTCTGTGTGTGTGTCTGTGTGTGTCTGTGTGTGTGTCTCTGTGTGTGTCTCTGTGTGTGTGTGTGTGTCTGTGTGTGTGTGTGTCTGTGTTTGTGTGTCTGTGTGTGTCTGTGTGTGTCTGTGTGTGTCTGTGTGTGTGTGTCTGTGTGTGTCTGTGTCTGTGTGTGTGTCTCTGTGTGTGTGTCTCTGTGTGTGTGTGTTTGTGTGTGTGTGTCTGTGTGTGTGTCTGTTTGTGTCTGTGTGTGTGTCTGTGTGTGTCTGTGTGTCTCTGTGTGTGTGTCTCTGTGCATGGGTGGGTGGGTGGGTGGGTGGTGTGGGTGGTGGGTGGGTGGGTGGGTGGGTGGTGTGGGTGGGTGGGTGGTGGGTGGGTGGTTGTGTGGGTGGGTGGGTGGGTGGGTGGGTGGGTGGTGTGGTGTGGGTGGGTGGGTGGGTGGGTGGGTGGGTGGGTGGGTGTGGGGGGTGGGTGGTGGGTGGGTGGGTGGGTGGGTGGGTGGGTGGGTGGGTGGGTGGGTGGGTGGGTGGTGGGTGGGTGGTGGGTGGGTGGTGGTGGGTGGGTGGGTGGTGGGTGGTGGGTGGTGGGTGGGTGGGTGGGTGGGTGGGTGGGTGGGTGGGTGGGTGGGTGGGTGGGTGGGTGGGTGGGTGGGTGGGTGGGTGGGTGGGTGGGTGGGTGGGTGGGTGGGTGTGTGTGGTGTGGTGGGTGGGTCTGTGGCTGTGTGGCTGTGTCGCTGTGTCGCTGTGTCGCTGTGTTGCTGTGCCGCTGTGTCTGTGTGTCTGTCTGTGTGTCTGTGTGTGTCTGTTGGTTGCAAGTGTTGGATTTGTCCGGTTCATGCTGGAAGGCATCACCATCGCCGCCACAGACAGGGGCACAGCAGCCGCAACCCTACCATAGCTCGTGAAAGCACGGCTAGTAATCCCCTGGCGTAATGCAACCTTCCACTTCCCGAGCACCTGAAACATCAACGCACTCACGGCCCATTGCATTGTAAGGAGTCTGCACACCTGCCTATGATGCCCAGTAGATTGTGCTTTGTAGTTTGCATTGTTTTCATGCCTATGCCGCGCAAAGAGCACGGGCTGTGTGCATCCCGTGCTGTTTGGAGCGCAGCACTACCCCTGCTAGAGGGCTCTGAGAGATTTAGAATCCAGACCAATCCCTTCGGTGCATTCGCGCAGTTCCGCGGTTCGTTTTTAACGACTTGAAAGAAAGCAAGCTGAAGCTTGCCAGATGTGTGACAGGTTTCAATGCTGCCATCAGTGCCTGTGCTGCTGGCAGCCAGTGGCGGCTAGCTCTGGACCTCTTGGGTGCAATGCCAGGCTCTTGCGACAACAATAAAGCACTTGCATTGTTTGCCGCCATCCACACATTTTGCTGATCCATTTATGTCTGCGATTTCTTTGCTCGCGTCTAACAAAGAGTCATGCGAACCACACGGGCCACATACAGCTAGACCCTTGGAATCTGGGAGTGACAAGATTGATGGAGCCTGATCTTCTCATAGCTTCAATGTTGGCATGCTTTGGCGCTTCCATCCCTCGCCTACAGCACCCTTTGCTAGCATGTTGGCCCCTAAAGTCAGGATTTGCAAGGAACCGCCTCCCACTCGAATGGTTCAGGCTACAAGATGGGCCTTGCAGCGGATCGTGCTTGCTATCGAAGTGATTCATAAATTGTTTGCTCCTGCATTGTCCCTTGAAATCTCGCAGTAAGATAACTCGTCGCAATCAAACCTGCAGGCGAGGATGTGACACCAGACATCATCAGCTTCAGTGCAGCTGTCACGGCCTGCGACCGGTGTGACAAGTGGGCTGCATCTTTGAGCCTTTTGAGCCGCATTTTTGGGTCCAGACTGGTCCCGGACACTGTTCTCTTCAATTCTGTCCTGCATTGTCTTGAGAGTCCTGCGCAATGGCGCATCGCGCTATCCCTCTTGCGGGACATGCCCAGCAGATCTGTCCTGGCCAATGAAATGAGCTATCGGTCTGTTATGGGTGCCTGTCAGGATTGGAAGCTTGCAGTGGAGCTATGGGGTGAAATGTCTGTTGCCTCTGAGCCTTCCGCCATTTCGGCGAGCACTGCGGTTTTGGTTTGTGCGCGGCAGGGTGCCTGGCGAGTAGCATTGGTGATCCTGCAGGACATGCTGTCGCTTGGGTTCCCTGATGGGCCCAGTGCTTTCTCTGGCCTCATCGAGGCATGCGACCGAGATGGCCGCTGGGCCGCTGCAGCCAGGCTCTTGGATGACTGGGCTGGCCCGGTTGCGCTGCTGTGCAGAGATCGAATCTGACACGGGCCGTCCGGAAGCTCACGCGGCGCAGATGCGCTCCGAAGCCATGGAGTTTTGACACCTCGCTTTTAGTAATTATTTGTACAGCCATCGCGCGCGCTGCGTTGAAAAGCCTCGGCTTTTTGCGGGGCACCCAAATGAAAGCGGCTCGCATTCGGCGCAGAAGTTGTGGCGCCCAGCCGGCCCCTTCAGGTTCTTGAGGCCGGCCCAGCCGAAGGCGAAACGGCGGCGGCTGCGGCCCATGTACGATACGGAGGAGGCGAGCGGAGTGGTCAGCCGCCAGCCTTGAACTGTTCCATTCGCGCCATACTTGTGCCCTGAGCCTACTCCGTTTTTTGCCCGCCCCCGATAAAGCAAGGGCTCTGGAAAAAAAGTTCAAACTTTCTCAGCGACCCCACGCGACTCTAAAGAAGTTTCGCACTGCTGGAACCTCGGCGTGAGAGACGCCAGGCCTTTCTGGAGGGCATTTGCTTCGAGTCGCCTGCCTCAACCTCTCCAAGCCAAGGAAGTCCCGGGCCAGAAGCGGAGGACGCAGCAAATGAGGCCATCCCCGGACCCCCCCCCCCCCCCCTGATGTGGGGAGTCAGTACTGGGAAATGGCTGCAAGTATGGCATAGAAATCCACGACATGTTGCACATGTGCACTTGTTTCGCGCTGCCGTTCTTCAAGTCACATTGCCGCAGGATGACCTGGTGACGGCTGTGGCGCGCAGCATTTCTCTTCAAGACCCTTTCACGCATCGTACTTAGTGCGACCAGTCACTGTTGCACAGAAGCTTCCTTGCAACATCCAAGCTGCCTGGCCTGATGCCCAAGGATATGTAAAGTATGATCACGGTAAGGCTTAGCAAAAGGTTAGCGATGGACACCTTTTTGTTTGCTTGAGCAAAAGGCGGCCCTGTTCAAAGCAGGCAAGCTGCAAAGTCCAAACAACGTAGAACATGTCGGTAGCAAGTTGCAATCCGACTGGCGCAGCCCGAGGTTGCAACTCATTGAGCTGCCGCCTCAATGGTAGAGAGTAGCTGGGACGGAGGTTACTCATGCAAGCTTGCTCAAGCTGAATGCAGCCTTCCGAAGAGAGATCTTGCATTTCTCGCAAGTGAGCATGGGCACAAGGCAAGGCAAGCATTTGCACTTGCATGTGACAGGTCACCCGCACGGGGCCGCGACTGTGAGCATATCCAGGCTCAACGGTGTGAAGGTTTCACGGAAGCACCGTCAACATGAGGCCTTTAGAGATCTTGAAAGCGCGCGTGCGCTTGTTGCGTCAGCCTTTGTTGTATGGCGGAGGTTTAATTTAGTTGTCACATGCAATGGCAGGCATCAAACAGAGAATGCTCATGTGCAGCCAGTTTGAATCCCAGATTCCTTCCTTCTGCCGCGCAAGGCGTTTGATCGGCGAGGATTTCTGGACTTCAACGAGCTCATGGAAAAGAATCGCTGGTGCAACCAGACTGATCAGACTGTGCTTCCATGCCTTGAACGATCAATAGGGCATCGGCCGCGGCATGTTCATTCTGAAAGTCGCATTTGTTTAGCTTGTACTGGCGCATGCCATCCCTGGTTCTTTTTTGGGCCCCGCTCTACCTGACCACAATGACGATGGCCTCACGACTGCATGGCAGTGCCTCATCAGGTGCCGCCTTACCAAGAAGTGGAAGTGTCCTTTCTGCGGTTGCCTGAGGTTCTGCGGGCCGAGCCAAATACGGAAAGTATTTGTTGAAGGTCTAGGCAAACTAGAAAGCCACTCGTCAGGATGGTGTTGTCATCGGCATGTTGGGTGCTTGGCTTGGGGCATGGATCTTGCGAGGTGGCAAGCACATCAGCCGATACGACCTCGTGGATGCCAAAGATGTTCAAGAAGTGCTGGCCACTTAAGCGGCCAAAAGGTCGCTACGTGCGCGTCCAGAGATCCCTCGAGCAGCTGCCGTCCGTGTCAGTACTGCGATGAGGCTGGACCAGTCTCGCAAATTAGGTGTTGAGCTGCACAAGCCTCAGATGCGGCAGGGTAAAGCCAGTGCATGTCAGTTGTTGGGCCGGCCTAGGGTAGTCTAGGACATGTTGTGCCAAGGACTCATGCTGTGCTGCAGCCAGATGGCACGCTTGCTTTGCCGGCATCGCGGCGCGGGCGGATGTTTTTGCTTTTGTTTTTTCCAGGCGCGGAATGCCAGCGATGTCTCACGCCTTGCAGGCCTCCTACCGCCTCCAAGGCGGAAGCGGTGGCAGCAGCGCGGCGCCTAGCTTTCCGATTTCCGGAGGGACCGGTACGTGAGACTCGCCCAGGTGGACACCTCCAGCGACGAGGAGGCTCCCAGTCTAAAGGCCGAGCAGCCCAGAGGTGGGGCCGCAGGAAAATAACAGAGGCAGCGCATGGCAGTGCATTCTCTGTGTGGCAAGGAGAACCTCGCGACCAGCGCAGGCGCCATTCTGGCTTTCAGCTTTGGTCCTTGCTTCTGAGTTCTGAGCCTCCTGTTGCCCAACGCAGCCTGCAAGGCTGGAGGACGCCCCAGCACAAGTCCATGATGTCCGAGAGGTCAAAGCTGCGCGATCCAGTGTCAAGCCTGCTGCCGAGTTGGGTGCGCAGGGCTGAATTCCTCTATGAGAAGCCAATAGAAGCCACATTGAAATACATGTGCGCGCATGTTGCCTGGCCTCAAAGTTGAGATGCTTTACGCAGCCAAGGTCGGCTGCAAAGGCAACGCAGGGTCTGCAGCACTTGTATGAAGCTGTTGCTGAGAGAAGGGGTTGACCAGTGGAACCCTCTGACTGGGGACGGGGTGCTTGACTCACGCAGGCCTCAAAGAAGGGCAAGAAGGCAGCCTTGGCAGCTGCCAGGGCCAATTGCCCAGCTTCGGTTCGAGTCCTGCTTTCAAATCTCGCGTCAAACAGTGTCGAATTCAGCAGTTCAACAACCTCGCCTCAGCAACAAACAATGTAGCAACACCGGAGTGTCTTTTCTTTCTCCTTTTTCTTTTTTTCCTTTTGTTTTGTGGTCTGGCTTACTGAAGATGCAGTGTCAGCCTAGCTCTGTTCAGGAAGCCTGGCTCCAGCAAAAGTCGGTTCCCAAGCTTGACGTGCAGCCTTGTTCCTGTGAGAGTACTTCTGTTGGTGTTGCTGCAGAAGCTTTGGAGGGCCATTGTGTTTGCCCCTAAGTACTGCGGCGTATGCAAAGGGGGGGTCCAATATCTCACATTCCCTGTCCGTGCAAGTCATGTACGTGGCAATCTGTTGCTTGTCTTGGCCCGCCTGGTGGGTGGTGGGGTCAGTGGAGGAATCATCACAGTGACCAGGTTCTGTAAGGTGCGGGTGGTTTCCCAGGGTGGCGCCATACCTTTGGCGCATTTTATCCACGAAGTATATGAATATGCTCACGTGGGTCTGGTTGCAGAACACGGTGAAGGAAGCGACCTGAGGACGCATGCGTTTCTCTATTTCAACGGAAGAGCCTTGCCAAGGCGCGAAGCATGAAGACCATGTGTTGACATGTGCCTGCCGAGTGACAGGCCGGAGACCGAGACAGTAGATGCAGAGCACCTAGTTCCTTTTGCCTCAAGCAAGTCCTGCTTGCTCCACGCTGAAAGCCGACACTGTGCCTGGCTGGTGCTGCCAAGGTAGACGACTCAACCAAAAAAGAGGCTCCCAGTCTCAAGGCCGAGCAGCCCAGAGGTGGGGCCGCAGGAAAATAACAGAGGCAGCGCATGGCAGTGCATTCTCTGTGTGGCAAGGAGAACCTCGCAACCAGCGCAGGCGCCATTCTGGCTTTCAGCTTTGATCCTTTCTTCCGAGTTTTGAGTCTCCTGTTGCCCAATGCAGCCTGCAAGGCTGGAGGACGCCCCAGCACAAGTCCATGACGTCCGAGAGGTCAAAGCTGCGCGATCCAGTGTCAAGCCTGCTGCTGAGTTGCTGGGTGCGCAGGGCCGAATTCAACTATGCGCAGCCTCATTGAAATACATGTGCGTATGTTGCCTGGCTCAAAATTGATGCAGCCACATGCAGCCAAGGTCGGCTGCAAAGGCAACGCAGGGTATGCAGCCCATGTATGAAGCTGTTGCCGGGAAGGGGCGTTGAACCGTTGAACCCTCTGACTGGAAACGGGGTGCTTGACTCACGCAGGCCTCAAGGAAGGGCAAGAAGGCAGCCTTGGTAGCTGCCAGGGCCAATTACTCAGCTGACGCAATGCGCACGCGTTCTGTGCACGAACTTCCAGGCCGCTTGGGTTCAGCGGCAGCCAGCTCCTCAATGCGCTGTGCCCTGGAAATCCATGCGCCCCTGGGCGCCTAGTTGGAAATCAGACGGCAAAGTAGCCACATTTTGAGCACCCTCTGACTTTGACATGTTAATGATGATGGAATGTATTGCTGGTCAACCTATGAAGTCAGCGAGTGGCACAGCTGATGCCACACCGCGCGCGCGTGTGACGGAATGTGCGGGACTATGCCGTACTGTAGTAGTTTACCAATGCCAAGAAACAAGAAGCACCTCCACAATGAAGGTTTGAAGCCGGACCTTCAATTCCGTCAATCCGCTTTGAAGTCTGGCTCCAGCTGCATCATTCCCTGCACAGCTTGAGAGACTCTCCAACACTGAATATAGTATTGAGAAAGAATGGGCTGGCAGTCGCACCAGTTGGATGTTCAATATGTTGTCACGTTTGTAATGGCTCTTGCAAATTACACCAGCAGAGACCCCAAACAGTTGAGGGCTGACGGGCGAGCACAAACATGCCAACAGCTTGTGGCTTTCTGCGCTTCAACACGGATGAATCAAAATGATGCAGTCGTGAACCTGGCGCGCGTTGCGTTGCTGCACGTGTGTTGCTGGCGTGCTTCGCGCTTCAGCACCGCGCCAGAACTGAGGTTGGGCAAGCGCGCGCGATGGCGGGCGAGCGCGCGCGCGCGTGAACGCAAGTGTGGCCGCGCAAGCACGCAGTCACATGGGCAGTTCAAACACACATGTCCAATTCAGACACACATGTGTGTACACGTGGAACACACATACGTATACGACTGAAACAGTATACATTCACCTGCGGCACACGCATAAATGTGTTGAGCTGGAAAACAAGCATGTGCTTCTTGGAAAGCACACACACACATGTGCAAACGTGGAACGCACATATGTGTTTACTTACGACACGCTAATGCGTTCACGTGGAACACACATGTGTGTTCACTTGGAACACAATGAAACGCGTGTCCAATTCAGACACACATGTGTGTACACGTGGAACACACATGCGTTCACCTGGAACACAAAGACGCGCAATTAAAGCACACATGTGTGTACGCGTGGGACACACATATGTATACCACTGGAACACAAACATGTGTCCACCTGGAACACCGCGTGTGCGATTAAAGCACACATGTGTGTACATGTGGAACACACATATGCGCACACGTGAGCAAACATAAATGCTCACCTAAATCGCACACACATGCGCGCACCTCGAAAACAATCATGCGTTTTCTGGAGCGCATACATGTGCACACCTGGAGAGCAAATATGTCGTCAGATGCCAAAAAAAGTTCACCTAGCACATACTAATGTGTTCACGTGAAACACACATCTGTTCACCTGGAACACAAACACGTGTCCAATTGGAACACACATGTGCGTACACGTGGAACACACATATGTGCACACGTGAACACGCATATGTGCACACGTGAACACTCACATATATGTGCACCCGGAACACACACCCGTGTGCTCATCTGATAACAACCATGTGTTCTCCTGGAACACAAACACGTGTCCAATTGGAACACGCATGTGTGTACACGTGAACACACATATGTGTACACGTGGGAGACGCAAATGCGCACACGTGAACACACACACATGTGCACACGTGGAACACACACATGTGTACTGCACATGTGAACACACACATTTATGCGCGCGCGGAAAACACAGACACACACGAGTGTTCATCTGATAACAAACACGTGGTCTCCTGGAACACAACCGTGTGTCTAATTGGAACACAACCGTGTGTACACGTGAACACACATATGTGTACACGTGAACACACACATATTTATATATATATATATATGCGCACCCGGAACACACACACACGTGCGTTCATCTGAAAACAAACATGTATTCACCTGAAACACAAACACGTGTCCAATTGGAACAAACATGTGTGGACACATGAACTCACAAATGTGTACATGTGGAACACACATATGTGTGCAAATGAACACACATACATGCGCACGCGGAGCAGACACACACACACACACACACGCGTTCATCTGATAACAAACATGTGTCCTCCTGGAACACAAACACGTGTCCAGTTGGAACGCACATGTGTGCACGCGCGAACACACAATGTGTGCCGTGAACACACGTACAAAAAAGTGCACGCGGAGCAGACACACACACACGTGTTCATCTGACAACAAACATGTGTTCTCCTGGAACACAACCTTGTGTCTAATTGGAACACAGACGTGTGTACACGTGAACACACATATGTGTACACGTGAACACACACATATATACGCGCACCCGGAACACACACACACGAGTGTTCATCTGAAAACAAACATGTGTTCACCTGGAACACAAACACGTGTCCATTGGAACACACATGTGTGTACACGTGAACACACATATGTGTACACGTGGGAGACGCAAATGCGCACACGTGAACACACACATGTGCACACGTGCAACACACACATGTGTACTGCACATGTGAACACACACATTTATGCGCGCGCGGAAAACACAGACACACACGAGTGTTCATCTGATAACAAACACGTGTTCTCCTGGAACACAACCGTGTGTCTAATTGGAACACAGACGTGTGTACACGTGAACACACATATGTGTACACGTGAACACAGCACACGTGGAACACACACATGTGTACTGCACATGTGAACACACACATTTATGCGCGCGCGGAAAACACAGACACACACGAGTGTTCATCTGATAACAAACACGTGTTCTCCTGGAACACAACCGTGTGTCTAATTGGAACACAGACGTGTGTACACGTGAACACACATATGTGTACACGTGAACACACACACACATATATATGCGCACCCGGAACACACACACACACACGTGCGTTCATCTGAAAACAAACATGTATTCACCTGAAACACAAACACGTGTCCAATTGGAACACACATGTGTGGACACGTGAACACACAAATGTGTGCACGTGGAACACACATATGTGTGCAAATGAACACACACACATGCGCATGCGGAGCAGACACACACACACACACGTGTTCATCTGATAACAAACATGTGTCCTCCTGGAACACAAACACGTGTCCAGTTGGAACGCACATGTGCGCACGCGTGAACACACAATGTGTGCACGTGAACACACATACAAAAAAAGTGCACGCGGAGCAGACACACACGCACGTGTTCATCTGATAACAAACATGTGTTCTCCTGGAACACATACACGTGTCTGATAAGAACACACATGTGTGTACACGTGAACACACATATGTGTACACGTGCAACACGCATATGTGCGCACGTGAACGCACATATGTGTACATGTGGAACACACATATGTGCACACGCGAACACACACACACATATATATATATATATATATGCGCGCCCGGAACACGCACACACACACATGCGTACACCTGGAACACATATGTGTGTATGTCTGGAAAGCACATTTCTGTTCACCTGCAACACACATATGTGTTCACCTGGAACCCATATATGCGCTCACTTGGAACAGGCATTTGTGTTCACGTGCGACACTGGTGCAGACCTGGATCACACAAGCATGTTTAACCAGAACAAACTTCTGTGTTGACTTGTAACACACATATGTGTACACATGGAACACACGTGTGTGCACATGTGGAGAAACATGTGCAACACAAATGTGCAACACACATGCGTTCACCTGGACAACAAAAATGTGTTCACATGGAATTTACATTTCCTGCACGCCTGGGCGACACATAAATCAAGTTCCCGAAGCCGGCTGTGAGGCGCTATTCCATGGGGCTCTGCCTTGAACAACGCTTGTGTTTTATATGCGTGTTCCAAGTAGGAAAATAGTGTTCGTGTACGATCAATCTAGCTTTTTTGCAACACATTGCTAGCGCGCGAGCCTGCTGCTGCTGCTGCTGCTACTACTGCTAGTACTATCAGTATCGGATGCGTCTCCAGCAGTTACAGGCTTCAGCTTAGCAAAAGCTTTCCGGCGCATTGCGCTTCTTTCTCGCTTAGCTGCACAGTGTCTTTCGTATCGATTGCTAAAGTGCTTTGATCGTATTGTGGCAACTCTTCGTATCGATTCAGTAAAGCATTTGCTTTCGCAGGGAAATACGCAACCCAATTCTTCCGTATGCTCGGTACAAGGCATCCCTGCCGTCTTGCCTCAGCCGTTGTTTCTCCCCTTTGTCCAGCAAATCGCACTCCATGATAATTGCATGCGAGGAGAGCGGAAGCAAATTTGGATTGAAGCGTAACTGGGAACCGGTCACAGCTGACCACTGCGCTAGCGCCTTGCTAGCGCGCGGCTAGCGCGGGTTCGCCGTATTTTTTGGAGTCACGGCGACCATCTGTGTGGATTTGACAAATTAAGGCCACGTAAGATGAAGGTAAACGTGCGGGCTGGCTTCAAGTACTAAGTAAGAACTGCAACATTACACCCTTGAAAGCCACGCAAAGCCCATCGCGGCAACCCACGCGCCAACTCTTGGAAACCAAGATCACCGAAGACCCTAGCGCAAACCAAGCGCCATCCTAGCGCCTCCAGTGGGGAGCGGGCAATCCATTGGTATTTGCAGGACTCCGCTTTGTGTGAATGAAAAACTGCACAAAGTGACTGCGACGGTGGCCTCTGTAGACTAAACCCCCTTACTAGGAATTTTGACCGGATCGCATATGTGTTTTATCAGAACAATCGCATGCTTTCACCTGGAACACAAACATGTGCTGACGTGGAACACACTCATGTGGTCACATGCAAAAAGTGCGTGTTCACTTGGAACGCGCCGATGTGGTCAGCTGGAACACACCAAGAACACACAATCATTTACTTGAAGCACTCGTACGTGCATCCGCAGCATGCTGCCTGTGGCTTGATCAAGCGCACGCGCGCGCTCAAACACACGTTTCTGAGCCTCAAACACACATGCGTGCCCGCGGAATACACCGCGAATGACCAGGGAGCCGTGCCAGGCATCCAGGCTGGGGGA